TTTTATATAGCAAGTATGTATTGTCCCTATATGAAAATGCTTATGTAATGCATGTGTATTAGGGTGTCCAAAAAAAAAAAAAAAAAAAGCTCTCTACTGATTCCCATTGATTCCCATGTGACCTAAATTAGTACTAAAAAAAATTTGACGGTTTTATTTTGACAGGAAGTGCTAGATGTAAAATCTGAGTTTTAGTGTTTTAATGTTAAACTAGCTTAACATTAATAGAAAACACATTTTAGAAAATTAAAACAAAACAATTAGATGGGTATAAATCATTTCCAATTGTTTTCTACTATTTAACTTGATAGATTATATTTATAAATATGAAAATACAAAAAAAATACATAAAAACTAATATTTATTAGCAAATTTAAGATTTTATTGCGGTGAAACATTTCTCAAAAAATACAACTTTTTGAACAGTTCCCAAGCTCCTTTTTAGTCATAGTCTTAGTCAAGTTTTTTCTAGACTTTTTATTTACAAAAAGTACTTTTTGAAGTTGATCTTCATCTCTAGTAGCTGAAATAAAATCTTTAATGAGCTTAATGTTTCTTTCTGCACCATCATTTACAACAGATATGTTTTTGATCCATGCAATAAAATCTAGCAACTGAGGATAATTAAAAACATCTATAATATTAAAACTATTATTGAGCCATTCTTTTATACTTGCTCTTGATATTTTAAAATGTTTGAAGAGAAGGTAGCTTTGCTCGGAAATCAACTCAGGTAGCTCTGTGGTCTCTTCAATTTGTACATTTGATGGTTTACAACGCTGAAATTCATTTGGCTCTTCAAACTCAATCAGAGCTAACAGCATTCTTAGCTTTGTTTCAGAAGGAACTTCTTTATCCCCAAAGGAAAAAACAGAGTTGCGGAGTTAAGTACCACGTATGGCGTCCCATGCTGAGAAGCAAAGCATTTCTAATATTCTTACTAACTTTTCTCAATGCATAGGCTGTCTGGATAGCTTTCAAATCATTGTAGGGAGCCAGAAATCCTGAAAAACTTTTTAGAAACCATGTAACATAGCAAATTGCAATGAACAAACTTGCATCCTTCAACTGCAGCATTTCTTTTTCTGTCAAGATATTACTAATATCTTTAGTCATATAAAGAGTCAGGATGTAGATTGCATCTGCTAAAAACCTTGCCTCATGGCAGACGCCAGGTTGATGGAACTTAAAATCTTGTACTTCCACTCCAAGGAAGAAGAAGGCAAGCTTACAAACTATACCATAATCATTCCTTGAAAACACTATATCAGTAGTTGCATTAGTCAAAAATGTCTTAGCTTCCTCTGCAACAGTGCGAAGAACAGAGCCAATCTTCAGATCATCTCTTTGCCAGTCCAATTTACATAAATTTTTCACTTCATTCACTTTCTCACAGATTTCAGGCCACTTGTTCTTTAGCTTGACATAAAGAGCTCTTCTTGGACCTTTAGTTTTCTCACCAGTAAGGGCAGCCATATAGTGAGATACATGTACTTCATATATATTTCTCCTACACATTATCCACAAAATTGGTAATTTTAAAATATCTGTAAGAATTTGGACTGCTCCATTTACTCCGCCTGTATTGCTTGCAGTTGTATCACAGCATATACCAATGATCTGCTCTTTACATCCGTAATATTCTAAAAGATTGTGCACTTGTTCTGCTTGGTCAACTCCCTTTGAAGAGGGACATTGAACAACACCTAAAAGGTGGTCTTCCATGGTATTGTCATCCGGGGAACTCACTGAGACTGCAAGTTGCTCAATTTTTTGAATAATGTTAAGCCCAGTGGTAATTTGTTCCAACAGTTTGGTATCAAAATGAAGAATAAGCCGTAGATTTAAGATGATTAGATATTGAAATCCACTCCGAGTCTCCTTCAAGTTCTACATATTTGAACTTTTTTCTATGAAGTGTGCTTCGTGAAAGCGGTATATCATTAATTTCTATACCTCCAGCTTTAAATACTTCACTTAAAATTGCCAGATGAGGTCGTACACCAACATTGAACCTTGTTGCTGGAATAGCAGTACATTCAATGAGCTTTTCAACATTCACTGCTAAATTTATCCTATCTCCAGAATTGTACCTAGGTATCATTTTATAATATTTTTCTTCCTATTTATAATTATATATTTTTCAATAAAACAGCTTTAGCTTGTGAAAATTACAACTATGTTATTAAAATAATACTATACCTGCGTTTCTGACCGTTACCCAGGAAATCATCTTCCTCGCTGATTTCAGAGTCCTCGTTTGACTTTTCTTCCTCACTGCTGAATTGAATCTCTTCTGTCATGGAGTCATGTGACAACAAAACATCATTGATATCTTTTAAGTTTTTCGGTCTCTCTAATTCTTTCTCTCTCAACTTATCTAACTTGTTCTTTCTCCTGTTTGCATCCAGTACTCTTCTACTGTAGTCTTCATCGACTTTTGTTTCCATATATCCTTTCCTATGTAATTTCTGGTCTTCATAAAAACTAAGAAATATTTAAATCTATTAAGCCATTTATAAATAAATTAATAATTGTTCTAGTTTTTCTTGGAAGATGACCAATAGCAATTTCCAATTAAAAGTAACTTAAGTAATAGCATATTATTTCCTTTTAAAGGAAATAATATGCTATTACTTAAGTTACTTTTAATTGGAAAAAAAATCTCACTACTAAAAAAAGTGTTATTTAATGAACTTACTTTATATCTTCCAGCTTTGCATCATCTGTTCTCAATCTATCAGCAAGAATATCTTTTAGTCGAGATGTCAAAAAGCTGATAGGATTCTGTGAGAAAATCTTTCTCTAACTTTGATTGCTTATCAAGACTGCTGTTCCAGTTTAGAGAAGACAATTTAATCAATTTCTTGTATTTTAAATTAAGTTTAATGATTTTGGTCTTTATATTGTACCCACAAATCACAAATTTCTTGCCAAACCCAGCATTATCCCAATTTTTTTTAATCCTAGATACCAAGCAAGAATTATCAGGATCTGTACAAACACCATTTTCACAAACAAGATCCTTGGATTTCGATTTCAATTTGCAACCAACATTAGTAGAAGTGGGTTTGTATTTAACTTGTGACTCGCGAAGGATAAATTGATAGTATCTAAGAATATCACCATTAGATGGAAGCTGTCTCTGAGGTAACTCCCTCAGTGGGTACTTCAATAGGTAAATATACCTCAACCTTTCTGTATTTTTCCGTTTTTTCTTATTCTGTCCTATCATCTTCTTTTTTTTTGGCTGTTCTACCCATCTTTATATGAATTTCGAAATAATCAGTTTTTTAACTAAATTTTTACTAAATGTTACACTTGCATCAAAAATCTATGAAGTCGTTATTCCCTCTTGTATAACATTTTATCTAAGTTTACCGTTACGGCTTTTATAACCGTTTACACGAGAATTTCTTTGTGCACAAATTAGAATTCCGTGGTGCACAAATAATTCCATTTAGAAATTTTTTCCTTCAAAAAAAATTTCTAAATGGAGTTATTTGTGAACCAATCCATGGGGAAATATACCAACTAATAATATTGTCCAGAGGGAAAAATATCAATCGCTAACAATGTTCATAGGGAATGATACTATTCTTTAATAATATCCTATGGGAATTATTTGTGTACTAATAATTACATCATATTAAAACATATTGAAATACTAGATAGCGCTGTTTTTTAGTAAATACACATATATGTACAAAACCGTAAAACTCACAATTTACATCTATCATTTCTAGTCATTAAAAAGTTAAAAAAAAGATTTTGGTAGCTATTTAGGACCTATAGAATGGGGATCAGTTGAGAGCACATTGAAATTTTAAAAAAAGTGTGTTTTTGGGACACCCTAATGTGTATACTTTTATGTTTAATTTTTTTTATTATATAATTATATTTTTTTATTCATAGGTATAAGCACGTTTAACTTATTTGAATAAAATTTAAATATAATTAACACAACACAATATAATAACAGTACACAAGTGTAAAATTATTAATATATTTTTTTATTTTTTTCAAGTTAAATTTCTTAATTTTTCCTATTTTGTTAGTTTTGCTTTCTTTATTTTTGAAACTTTTCCGCAATGCTTAATTTAATAAAACTTGCAAACAGCCATGGCTAAGTTGTCTAAAATAAAATACTCAAGCATGGACACACGAAACAAAAAACTGCATGTTTTTCATATATATATATATATATATATTTATATATCAGTCTTCTCCGTTTGATGAGCACTTTCGTGCTCTTGCAGTTTTGCGCTCGCTCACATACCTGCCAATACTACGGCTGGCACTTTTTTAAGTGCTTGCCAAAAATTTTCAAGCGTGTTTTTGAATTGCAACAAATCTTTTTTCATAATCAAATTTTTTCATAATCAAATTTTTATATTAAATAAATTTCTTAATCAAATTTTATAATCAATAATTATAATCAAATATTAATCAAATCAAATCATAATCAAATTTTATAATCATAAATTTCATAATCAAATTTTTCCATAATCAAATCAAAGAGGTACAAAAACAAATATTTAAAATATATGTATATATATATATATATATATATATATATATATATATATATATATATATATATATATATATATATATATATATATATATATATAAATATATATATATGTATATATATATGTATATATATATATATATATATATATATATATATATATGTATATATATATATATATATATATATATATGTATATATATATATATATATATATATATATATATATATATATATATATATATATATATATATATATGTATATATATATATATATATATATGTATATATATATATATATATATATATATATATATATATATATATATATATATATATATATATATATATATATATATATATATATATATATATATATATATATATATATATATATATATATATATATATATGTATATATATATTTAGAGAGAGAGATTCATTTTATTTTTTAAACATTTAATAGAGGAATTCTGTGGCATCACCTAATCAATCAATTGATACTCAAATAATTAATGAAGATGAAAAAGATCGTCAAAAAAATGATATTAAGGTATTTATTTAGAGTTAATTGTAACATAGGCAAGTTTTACTTTAATATTGCTTGAAAAGGAAGTTTGACCACTGTTGTTTTATTCACTGTATTTTTTTTTCATTATTGAGGTAAAAGTATCGATGCAACTTTTCTCCTGAAAATCTACAATTTACAACAAAATTTAATATAATATATAATATAATATTTATGATAATATTTTAAGTAATACCATTTAGTATTTAATTATTTTAATGATAAATTATTTGAACTCTTAGTTTTGATATTAATAATATTCTTTCAGTCTTTTTATAATTCTTTGAAGTCAAGAAAATCAAAGAAATAAATCGTTTTAGTAAAACAAGATGTCTTGTTTGTTATTATTGTTGTTATTATTATTGTTGTTGGTCATATTATTATTATTATTACTATTGTTATTATTATTATTATTATTATTATTATTATTATTATTATTATTATTATTATAGAAGTAAATTTCATATAGTAGTCCATCATATTAAAAACCATCAAACATGTTAATACATTAAAGTATATATATATATATATATATATATATATATATATATATATATATATATATATATATATATATATATATATATATATATATATATATATATATATATATATATATATATATATATATATATCATTAAATAACTAAAAAAATAATATCATCTTTATAATGGTTTCTTTTACATAAATATGAAAAAAATTAAGTCCAAAAATTTGTTTCAACATATTGTCAATTGTCTAAATTTATACAATGGTACATTAGAAAACATTGATGTTTTTATGTCTCTAAGGCTTTACGGACTTTCCTATCCAATTTTTTAAACCTCCACTTTAAGTGTTTCTGTTTTAACAAAAACAAAAACACTTTAAGACACTTAAAATGCAATTTACACTTAAATTGCAATTTACTCTATGCAAAAACACCTAAATTGCTCTATGCAAAGCTAATGCAGACTGGTTTAACTTGCCTTCAATCAAATGTTTTTGGTTAGGGTTAGAGTCAGGGTTAGGATTAAGGGTTATAGTTGTAGAGATTTTAGTTGGATCGAAGCAAACTCAAGTCAGTTAGAAACGCACATCAAAAAAGTAAAAAAGGGTCTGAGCGGAAAAAAGTCAGATCAAGGCAGATTTTTTCTAAAAACCAGGTCTAGCCAGAATTTCGGTTATAGGCGAACAGAATTATTTTGCCTATGACCAACTTTTTTCCGCCTCGATCCTACAGGATAAAAATTAAATCCGCTTATACCCAACTGTAAAGATGCCTACGCCCTTTAAGAATTCCGCCTATAACCTACATAATATTATGTTATAACTAAAATTTATTTTACCTTTTGGATGATATTGTCTATGATAATACTAAAAATAATAATGTAAATATAAAAATAGTGTTATTAAATTGTTTGCAGATGATAAAAAACAAATTTGTCAGGGTTGGAAGTTAGGGGATCATTTTATATAAAGATAAGTTAAGGAATGTGTTATAAAAGGTCTATAAAATTAAAATACTTTAGTTTAACTAGGAAATGAAAGTTTAGTGTTATTGATGAGATGGGTATATTTTACATTTTATTATTTCAAATGTTTAATTGAACAAAAAAAATTTTTTTAAGGCCTTAAATTTAAAGGATTTAGGTGTTAAGACATTATAAATCACATATTTATGCTATAATATACATTTTTTTAAATATATTTATAATAACTGTCTTGCTTGTTTTTTTAACATGTATTTGTGTTGTTGTTATTCGTATTCTTGTCTTTTAAAGTAATTTTTTGTTTGTTTTTAGGATAGTCTTTTGAAGTTAAGTGACTATTCTTACTGTAAAACTAAGTTCCAATTGTGTCATTTTTTAAATAATCACATTAGCTATTAGAATCATGTAATATATGTTCAGTTTGTCCGAAACTATGCTATATTGATTAGAATAATTGTTTTTTATGGGTGCGTTTTAGAACTTAAAGACAAACTACACAATACCCGTCCAAATCATTCACTTTATTATACTCACTGTTAAATTCTCTATCAAAATGATGTATAATATGTGTCGGCTGCTGTACAGTTAGTCTGTAAACTACGTTATTTTGATTAAAATTATTGAATTTTATTGGTGTTTTTTTAAAATCTAAAGACAAACTACTCAACAGCCATCAAAATGGTTAACATTATTAGACTCACCATTAAATTCTCTATCGAAATTATGTATCATATGTGACAGGTGCTAAAGAGTTTGTCTTTATTTGATGTTTTTCTGTTGCCGCCCCTCACTTTTTTACTGTAGTTTTTTCAAGATTAAAGACAAACTATAGTGTTTTATCTAATTCTGTTTGCGCCATTGTTCTTAGAATTTAATTTGCTATTGAAATCATGTATAAAACATGACATTTCAAAAATTGACATCCTGATGGGAAAAAAGTCAAAAATTTATTTTTGAGATTTTAAGTTATTTTAAGCGCGGAGAAATTAAGTTGAGCGCGGTACTTCCAGGGACGTGGTGGGAGTCAAACTCCGAACCTCTCGCTTATAAAGCGAGCGCTCTTACAACTACACAGCTACCGCATTATAAGAAAGATGTTATAAGAAAGATGTCTGATATGATCTAACCCGGTTAAATAAAAGTTAAATCTTAAACTAATATATCGCAATATTTTAGCAAAATTACTATTCCAACTGATAAAGAATTATTTAAAATTAATACCTGTTGTAAAATAACGTCAAAAACTCACCAAGTTGTTAAATTAAAAAAAAACATACAACCGCCCAAATTCCGCCTATAACTTTTAGAGAGTTAGAGAGGGAGCATCAAAACTAACACCCTTGAATGTGTTAAAATCGAAATTTTTTTTTTTTTTTTTTTTTTTTTTAACATCTTCACTTCCAACAAGGCTGCAAGCAACCACTATAAGAGTTGGAAGTTACTGGAAGAGAAAAGACTAAATCTGTAGAGCAAGATAACGATTGACTGATGACTTAAAAGATTGCAAATTATATGAATCAGGAAAGCAAGATGAAGGAAGCAAATTCCAAAGAACTGATGTTCGAGGAAAAAAACTAGAAGAATAAGAGTTTTTGAAGCACTTAGGAACAGTCACAGAAAAAGGATGAGACTTAATTGAATGGCGAGTAACACGAGAATGAATTTTAGTAGATGGCACAAGGGACGCTAGCTCTTTAGAGCAGTGCCCATTATAGTATTTGTAGAAAAGAGAAAGAGAAGCAACATTACGACGATGTGACAAAGGTTGGAGATTGGCTGCCAGAGCAGGTCCAACTATGTTTACAATTCGTTTTTGCACCTTGTCTAAAAGAGAAAGAGCATCATTAGAAGATCCGCCCCAGATGTGGCAACAGTATTCCATACAGGGACGGATTTGAGATTTATAGAGATAGAGAATAGAATCTGGAGTAAGAAAGATAATGGAGTGAAAAAAATCTGGAGTAAAAAAAATAATGTAATTAATACCAGTTTAAATGAAAGAAAACTATTACAACACCCTAATTACATGTTTCCTACTGGTTAGGCAAGCTTCTAAGAGGTCTACAAAACGCGTTAAAATTTGTCCGTCTATAACCTGTTTTTGACATAAAACGGGTTAGGGATATTGTGGCCCAAATAATGGTGCAAAAAGGGTGTACATCCAATATGTATGTATGTTCATAAAGATCTATCAAAACAAAAACAAAAAAAAAGTCGGTATCATAACAGGATCATATTTTTCATATATGGTAGTTTTTCAATATTTAACCAAAAAATAAAGTATATACTTAAGAGATAGTTAAGTAAGTCATACTTGAACTTTTCGAAATTTGATTACTGCCCCAAACCCCAACAGTTAGTTTTTAAGTAGGGGCTGGTTTAGGATTAACAAGATCAAGGAATTAGAATATCGGGCTGAAATGTCGTCATCTTCATTATTTCTTAAGATATAACCAGTTTTTGGGTGTTCACCTACAACCTACTTTTAGGCATAGGGGTTTTGCCTACTTTTAGGCAAGAGGTCTTTGATCATAAAATCAGAGCTAAGTATTGTATCACAAAATCTGATAATCATAATCTTATTCAAAAACTGATCCTAATCTTATTCTTTCCAATAAGCCCCATTTGGTATAAATCTAATAACAACTTTGTCTTGAACTTGTATTCTTAGTTATACCCTCAGGGATATGTGCCGAACCTTTAAGTACCCTAAAAGTTCCAGGCGGCTTTAACTATGGTTAGGGTTAGGACTAGTATATGAAATGTTTGTATATAAAATTTTGATTTACCGACATTACACTTTGGAGCATTTGCATTTAATTAAATAGGTTCCTGGTTGGCTGTTGCATGGTAATTTTGATTTATTTCTAGACGCCAATGGCGTTTCCAAGTTGGAATTTGATTTAAAAACAGTTCTGTAACCAGCTTTTCTGAATATTCTTCTAAGCCTGGGAGATATTATAGGTATCCATGGTAAAGAGATTATAGAAAGGTTATTAGAGTTTGATAGGATTTCATTTTATTTGCTAAACATTTTTTTAAACCTATTAAGAAATAATAATAGTTGCGTTTGAGAACATTTAAGTTTATTTATGTTTCCTTGTTTGTCCGCAAAATAATAAGTTCATTTTGTCGTAAATTTTAAAATATTTTGTTTTACGGACTTACATGGACACATACATAAACTTGAATGTTCTCAAACATCGAAGTGCGGAAAAATAAAAAAGTAATATTCGCAAACACAAAAAACCCGCCAAATCTACGAACAACTAATTCTATTGGTTCAAAAAATACTAACCAAAATTTCTAGAGTATTCAAAAAAAACTATCCGAATGTCCTGAGTATTCTGTTGAAATATTTTAAAAAACAGTATTATTTGAATTTTGTTTTTGTTGAAATTTCTAGCATAAATTATTTTAAGAGTATACTATCAAACAAACTATTATTTCAATTCTTGGAGCCACATCTGCAAAGCTATAAATGTTTTAAACTAACATTATTAGTTTACAATA